ACATCCAGAAGACAAGGATGGGTACTTGACCCAGGGGAGGCAGAAGGGAGGACAGGAAGGTGAGCCTCTCAGGATCCACTAGAGAAAGACTCTTGGAAATCCTATAGGACCTGCTGCCACCAATACACAATTTTCGTTAATTACCTCAATTGTGGCTTTTAGCCCCGTAATGAGAAACACAACTTTACTTCTAAGCAGGCAGCAAGGCTGGCAGAAAGCTGAAACCTGAAAATCAGCAGATCCAGGGCTGCATACGGCCCTCACTATTGAAATTAAGCCACATCCAAAACACAGAGCGAGGGTTCCAAATAGCTCCAGACAGCAGCCCGCCATGCAGGGCCCTCACCAGGCACCGGATGGACGCTCTCTGGACTTGTCCAAAGAGGCCCCAATCACAAGTGCTCATTTCAATAACTTAAGAAAATAAACACAGGGCTTATTTATAGCGTAGGAAAGGGACTGGGGCAAAAGAACTGCTCATTTGGTAATCTACCCTGACGGGGCGACAGGATCCAGACCCTGGGCTCTCTGGTAACAGGCTAAGCAGAAGTAGGGGCCAGAAGAGGGCTGGCTGCCAGCGTCACCAGGTACAATCTCGTTAGAGGCCTGGCAAAGAGAGGAAAGGAGATCTGAGACCTTGTTCCTTCCCACCAGCCGGGTCTGGTGCTCTTGCTGTCTCCAGTTTCTGGCTGATGAGAGGAAGGCACTGCAATGGGCTCCCTCCAGGGCCAGGAAGGGCCAGTGCACAACTCCAGCGAAGGTGCTGTGGGAAGATAAAAATCCTCTCGTCTCCTCCAGCCATTGGAGGAGGTGGGGGTCATGGAGTCCTCAGTCACAGTTGGGACTGAAATGCCCATGTTTAGAGTCGAGGATCACCAGTGGGCCCCGGCCACTGGCTGAGCTCAAGTCCACACATGCGGTCTGGAGTTCTCTGACAGTGGCTGCATGTGTTTGGGGCCAGCGCACTGCCTGGCAGGAGCACATGTGGATGAAATGCTCTCCTACCCCTCCTGGATGGGAAATGTGTTTTCCAGCTGTGCTTGACAGAAAGCCACAGGCTCCCTGACTTTATCCCTGGGTGCAGGAGCCGATGATTTCAGTTTGTAGCTCTAAACACAAGCCTGAGTCGATGCACGGTGAAGGGAAGGCTTGGCATGGGAGAGAAGCTTGGCACGGCGGCGAGGCCTGGCTGGTGGCTCTGTGGGCAGCCCCAGGCCTCATTCCTCATAGGTGGTAGACAAGACGGCGCTTCACGGTTGCCGCCTTCAGTGGAGCATGCAGGGGGGCCAAGGGTCCAAAGCAGAAAGGACAAAGCTGTTCCCATGTTTGTGACTCAACTGTGTCTCAAAAAGGAAAGAGGCCTGAAAGCTGGGACAGGGGACCACATTTACCTCCACCATATTTCTTCTGCTGCCAGCCACTGTGAGCAGGAAATTAAAACGCTGCACGTAGGACCCATGTGCCCTCCCCGGGACCTCAAGCCACACTGCCAAAGCTAGGGGTGCCTGGGAGTCCATCCATGGGGCAGCGGGGGCCAGAAGGTCCCCCCAGTCTGCAGGGAGACTCACAGCTCCCATGGTAAGCAGGGGACAGTCGCAAAATTGGGAGTAGGTCCTGCCTGCCTGCCTTTGTCCTACCAGGAGTGGCTCAGCTAATCATGTTCCAGACCCTTGGATCATACATGGTTTGTACAACAGGGCCAAATGCTGTCCCTGGTTTTACTCAGAAGTAGAAAATGGGTGAACAGCAAACCCTGGCCTAGGACAGGGGCCCCAGGGCTTGGACAGAGCTCTGGGTGAGGTGGGTGGGACAGCCCCAAAGGTCTCCTGTGCCTCCAAGCCCTGCAGTGGAAATCTCAAGTGGCTTCCAAAGTCCTCCTGGAGGGACTCGCCTGCCAACTGCTCAGCACGCCTGCCAGAGCTCCTCTCGGGATGTGGATGAAGAGGTCTCGGGCCAGCTTCGAGTTTTTGGCCTTTGCCTGGCCCTGCCAGGCCTCTTGGGGAGCAGATGCTCTCTGGTGACTTCTCTGGTACCCAGGCATGAGAAAAGGGAACAGGAAAGATGTCACTGTTCCTGAAGCAAAGGCTTAGGGCGGGAGTGGATGTGGACCCCAGTCTTCTGCCTGCGGAGCCAGCAAGAGCCTCACCAGAGCCCAACGGCTCCCCTCACCTGCTCTCCACTTTGTCTACTCCTTGATTCTACCATGGCTGGAACCAAAGCATTTTGACCCCAAATCGCTCAGCAGAACCCATGGCTAGCGTTGTGCTCTCCTTCAACGGCATGAGGGATGCTCTCGCCTCCCTGCTGCTTGGTGCACAGCCGTGACAGTGGGGTCACAGGGCCTGGCAACTCCTTCAGCCTCTTCAGTTCCCAGTTCTGCTCACACAGGCCAGAGGGAGGCCACTTTGCCCAAGAGCAGCAGAGAAACCAGCACCTCAGACACGAGAGTTCAAAGCCCGGTGGAAGATGAGGTTTCAGCAGAAAAGCAGAGTGATCAGATTTTTGAATCTGGTGACGGTGTAAAGAGAGGGGACAACAGAGTGTCACTGGCAGGAAAGAACCAGAGATTGTGAGCACCAAGAGCCCTCTTTAATTTTCCCAGACAAGGTGGTTTGGGCCTAACCACATTTGAGACATGGTAAAACCCATGAGATAAGAATATTAACAACCATCTAATGTTTATGCCACATTTTGTTTATTCACTCATACGCTGATAGACGTTTGTGTCCTTTCCATGATTATAACAACAACCATCTAATGTTAGCCAAAAAAAAAAAGTATTTCCATCCCAGAAAGGTCCCCAGAGAGCAGGCAGAGGCTTGGGGTACACGCTTGGGCCAGGGCCAGTCTGCCTCTTCTATAGGCCAGTAGGACACAATTTCTTTAAAAAGATTTCTTAATCTAGAAGCAGCTGTTGTCTGCTGTAGGCCTGGACATGACATTTTAATTAGCGTCATTGTTCTGCTCCCGAAGCCAGGCTCCGTGGTGTCCCGGGGGCAGATGGTCCCGACCCAGCTCATGGGTGAGGCCCAGAGGCCGCTCACAAGGGGACACAGTGCTTTGTCCTCAGGGTGCCTGAATCCGGCTTGTCTGCAGTGTGCCTGTCCTGCATTTCAACTGTGACTGTACCACCTGTCCCTTCAAAGACAGAATCTCTGAGGCCTAAGAGCCCAGGATGTAATACTCTTACCATATAAATTACTTTGCGCTATGTTGTAAGATCTCACGTTAATATTTCTGGAAATAGTAAGGTACTTTAAATGAAGATTTAATGTCCTTGAAGTCCAGTGACTCCTAAGGTGACACAGGATGAGAGGCCAGGCTGACAGCAATGTCACGTGGACCCACTCACTGTTGGCACAGCTCCTGCGCCTGCAGGATTTCAATGGGAAGTCCCTCCATGTCCTCCATGTAGCCCCACATCTTGGAAACAAGCTAGCGACCCCCTAGACAGTTAGCGTCAGGTAAAAGGGCCGAAGACCAAGACCAGACCAGGCCACAACAAGCCTTTATTAGGGGAATAGATCTGCCGGGCTGTCTCTGAACAAAGGAGAGACAAAAGCAATATGGCTGGGCCAGGGAGAGTCTTTTATAGAGACTGGGGTGGGGCTTGTAGGGGCTGAGGTAGGGTTGAGTGAGGTAGTGACTAGGGAATGGAGGAGCCAGTGATGTCACTAGGTGGTAGGAGGTGAGCAAGTATTAGGTTACTGTCTAGGTTGGAACAGGGGCATGCTGGGAAGAAGGGTTTGTTCTTTGGTGGGAGCAACCATCTTGGCATGATGTCACACAGGGGAGGGGGCAAGGCACCATAGGAAGAGGGCAGCTACTATACTTAATAGCTGCTGAGGTCGTGGGAGACCTATCAGTTAGAGGCACTCGCTGACATTGTAGCTATGGGACTGGAGTGATGACAAAAATCCCTTTCTCAGGCTAACAGACCATGCCCATTGCTATGGAAATGAGACCCAAAGCCCTTCCCGGGTCCCTGACTGACGAGTGAGCATTCTCCAAGGTGAACACTGATCCATCCCCAGGTGTGCAAAGCTGTATGCACCAAGCAGGGTACAGCCTCAGCATCTGAATCCGCAGGATGGGTGACACAGATGCTCCTGTCCCTTCCAGCAGCTGCTGCCCAGGAGTCTGTGGCTCCATAACCGGAAACAAGATGAAACCATCATGAGCTCTACATTCAGTGCTGCTGCTGTGTCCCAAACTCATCTCCGGCCCCTGCACTGTGGGTCACAGACACGGTGACTCCCGTTGACCGCGACATCATTCCGGCCCCCTCAACGCTGCTTGGTAGAACAATGGCAGTGCTTGAGTGACTTCAACTGGCACCCAACTGGGTTTCCCTAATTATATCCATATTCTAAGCAAATTGTTATGTATTTTGTGTTCTGGGGACATATGTTATGGCTAAAGCCCAAACTGTGGCTAATCTTAATATTAGAGCCAGATAAATCTGTTTCGGATCCATAACATTTAACATTTGCCAGAGTAGATTTGTTCATCAACTGGGCTTAAGGAGGTATAATTCACACATGTGCAGTATTACTAAACGCTGAAATTTAATGATTTAAATATATCGGCAACTGCTGCAAAGTGGTTGTTATAGCAGCATTTAATGTTAGCCAGAGCCTCTCTGGCTAATGTTACGTTTATACCGAAAGAATGAGGGAAATTTTGGCATCCCTGTGGGGGGTGGGGGTCACAACTCGTCAACTTTTACAGTATAGCACCCGCTGGGGTGACTCGGTGTGCAGCTCTTAAAAGACCCCCTTTTCTGCAGCACACCAAGAAAACATCGAATAGACCCAATCAGGCAGCAAACGGATTCCCTCAGAGGGAGCCATCTGCTCAGAATGGGCATGATTCGGGACCTCTGCTCGATGCATGTGGGACCAGATGTTCCTCTTGGCTGTGACAGCCCCGACTGTCATGAGGCCGGAAGGTGGAGTTAAAGACACAAAGATGGCTCCTTGGGCTACCAAGAATCAGTGTTTAAAGCAAAAGAGAAAAAGGAGTAAAAATAGTTTTAATCTTATCAAAATGCCAAGTGCAGAGGAGTGGTTCGTGGGGCTGACAGGAGACTGCTGGCCCGAGCCAGGGCTCAAACCTCCAGCGGCTCCGGCTCTGCATCTCGTTTGCCTGTCTGTTCCCAGAAGATGCAGTGACGCAGCGGCAGGGAGGTGTGGGCACCTGCGACGGGATGCGGACACAAGAGGACAGGCTTCTCCCGGCCCGTGGGTGCAGTCAGGGAGGCCGTCCCTGGGACAGGGTGACCTGCAGGTGCTGCAGTGTCTTCCCTCCGCTTGGCGACCTCGGGAGCCCAGAGCAGAGCTGCAGGGCTCGGGGCTCCCGCCCTTCTGGAGAAGGGGTCAGATGGGTACCCACAGGCACCCAGTCTGGTAACCTTCCACTGACCCGTAGCGAGTGCTGGGGGCCCTGGCCCCTGCCCACCAGCGCCTGCCTGGACCCCTGTCTGGCACGCATCACAAGCTGCCGATGTTGGGGAAACTCTTCAGCTTCTCCGGAAAGTCATCCTTGTACAGCACGGGATCTGCTCGGTGCTCCACCACCTTGAGAGGCATGGTCCCAAAGACCGAGGCGAACTTGTTGATGCACTCAGACCTAGGGTAGGGGTGTGCAGGATGAGGGACGGACAGAGAGGAAAAGAAGAAAACGTTGGAGCCGCTGAGGGAACATGGCAAAACCCATCCTGTCCACCGATCCAGCAGCTCCCGCCTGCTGCTGAGCTTGGGAAAAGGCTGAGGGGCAGGGCGGTGAGCTGGGGGGTCTCCCCAGCTGGGGACAGGGAGCAAGGGGTGCCCTTTGAGGCTGCCCGAAGGCTGGAGCCTCCCCTCCCCCTCACATTCCATGAATTCCTCCAGCTCAGCACCAGCAGGCCTCAGACCAAGGTGGATTAGCTGCCAACAATCCTTAACCCCCTCTCTGCCAAGGAAGCACAGGAGGAGAGGACAGGGCACCTGGCCTAGGCTCGGCGCCACGCAGGGCTGCAGAGACAAGGGGAGAAGATGAGCCAGAAGCCCTCTCCATTTGCCGGCCCCTGTGGGCTTTTATAACCTGGGCGGTTTTGGTCACTGCCTCAGTAGAGCCTGCGGCACACCGGGCTCAGTGACACCAGCATGGCGTTGCTGCAGAAGGGGCCGGGCCAGATTGAGCTGGGCCCAGAGCCCACAGCAACCCTCGGAGTGGGTGCTCGGGACGTTTGCTGGGATGGCTCAGCTCAACCAGGCCCACCGAGTGTGACAGCCAGGCAAGGGGACATCAGCACCAGCCAGCAGGAACTGGCCTGGGAAAAGCGTTTGAGGGGCAGGGGACTTAGAGGATGGATTTCAGAGAGCTCAGTGCCCTCCTCAGCCAGGCCTGGGCTCCTGAGAGCCGCAGCGAGCACAGGCGGGCAGGCACCGGGTCTGAGGTCCGACCTCAGGTCTCCTCTGTCCTCAGATGGGTGGCTGTAGGTTGGTTTCAAGTTATTGTAATCAAGAAGACTCCCGTTATCAACTCTTTTCTCTAGGTCATCGTAGAACTGAAAATATTTGTTACCACTTCATTTTGAGCTTTAGCTAACAGCAGCATCGTGCCCACCAGCACCACAAATCACTGCCCTGACCATGTGTTCCAAGCTACACCAAGAGTGCTTTGCATGTACAGACGACCCTCGAATCCTCACAACAGCCCTAGGGGGTTAAGTACTCTTCTTACTCCTATTTCATAATGGGGAGACAGAGGCATGGAGAGGCTAAGCAACATGTGCAAAGATAAATAAAAAATCCAGGAGAGACAGCCCAAACAGGGCATTCTGGCTCCTGAGGCTGAAGTCTAAATTATGAGATGATGCTTTTTTTTTTTTTGGCAGTGCTGGGATGGAATCTAGGGCCTTGCAAGCAGCCCCACATTTATTTATTAGCATCATTCTAGGGTCCAATGGGAGGGGCTGGAAGGTGTTGGTCTATACGGTGCCAGATAACTGACACGATTGTTCTATATATTCCTCCCCTTACCCCACTGGGTTTATATTAGCCTCATGTTATGGAAGAAGAAAACAAGGCTCAGGGAGGTTAAGGGACTTGCCAAGGACCCCAAGCTAGAGAGGGTGGACCTGGGCTTCCTTCAATGGCAGTAGACGCTGGATCAGCACCACGTTCCCCTAGTTGCCAGGAATGAGCTTCCCTCTCGCTGGCACTGTTGAGGTCAGGATGGCCTGAGGTTCCACATCGAGGGAGACTGGGGAAGGCTGAAGAGTTCTAACAAAACTCGGTCCCTGCCCTGGACAACAGCTTCCCCCTCTCCATGTTCTGGCTCACAGCAGTGGAGACTGAGTGGAGTGTGTCTGAGGTTTCACTCCGACAGTTCTGCTTGGAAGCAGGAGCAGATTCTCCTTGTTTCCAGTTGCCGAGCACACCAACTGTGGCCAGCAAAGCCTGTTCGTGCCAGCACGGGTACGAGTGTGTATGGATGAAAGGGTCCTGGGTCCACTGGAGGAGGAGAGCAGTGCCAGGGCCCAGGGAGAGAATTGACGACAATGTCTCCTCTGTAACCAGATCAGCCAGCAGGGCATGGGCTGCGGGCGAGATGCCTGGGGCTCAGGCCAGTCTGGCTCGCCGACAGCCACCCTGGCTAACCCAGCTCTGGTGAGTACTGTTGGCAGAGAGGCACAGTCGCTCCCACCAGGCCCTTCCTCTGCCCAGCCGGTTGGCAGTGTGTCCTGCTCCCTTCTCACAGTGGGGACCTATCAGGAGCAGCGAGGGTGGGCAGAGCCTGCTGGCTGCTGGGGGCCACCAGAGTTGTTCTGCCGGGGATCCGGCTTCCCTGTCAGCACTTTTCTCTGTGTTGCTTTTCCAATGGAGCGCACACACGCTGAGTGCTGCCAATGTCTGCCTCTGCTGTGTTGGAGGCATCCAGGGAAGAGGACTGCGGGGTGGTTTCCCCTCCAAACACACATGCCATTACCTAAGGTAACCAGGAGCCTCCAGGACGAGTGCTGGGACACTAGGTGGAAACTCACACCACCAGGCACTGTGCTGCCAGCGCTCAGGAGTCTCCGGCATTCGTCCCCAGCACACAAGACCCTGCTTGCTGCAAAGACGCTGGGTACTTCCTGAACCCAGGTGTGGACACTGGAGTCCCAAGATACTAATACCCCTATTAGAGCAGCTGAAAAGACTAATGGTCAGGGGCAATTTCCTTAGGTCAGACAGCTAGTAAGTGAGAAACTCATAGCCTTAAGCAAAGATTGGCCTGAGTCAAAATACTGTTTTTTTAAATCAAAGCAGTCTGCCTGTGGTATCACCCTGACCTTGGCGAAGATACTGGTCAAAATGAATAGCTATAAATTCTTCTGGTTCTTAAAGAACTAGTAGATGCCGGAAACAGTTGCTGGGTAGTAAAAGCTATTTTCCTACTCAACTGAGAATTCTGATTCCAGGCTCGTGAAGATAGGAATAAATAAGTGTATTCAACCACAAAACCCAACACAAGGTCAAATGTTGGGAAAGAGGTTAACTACTTCCACTGTTTTGTGAAGAATGTGCATTCTGTAAAGGGAACCATTAAGAAATAAAACAAGTGAACAGTTCTACAGTGGAAACTATCTCTTGGGCTATCCAAGACAGCTTAAATCGTATCTTTATCCTAAGCACCTTATTTAATAATTCAGTGCTTCAATCTTTAATCTCAATAGTTTTGCTCCCAGTTGCTAATTCTGCTCCCTCTTAGTCCTCTCAAAGGGTCACTTTACATTCACTAACTCCTCTTCCTCAGCATCACCCTTTCTCTATAACCCTGAGACTTCACCACTCTCTGAGTTACTTTTCCAAGGTCCTTCCTGCTCTTGGCTCTGCATACCGTGGTTCTCTCCTGGCCTCTCTGCTCGCTCCTTCTGTTTTCAGTTACTCTGTCTCCTAAATGTAAGAAATTATCAAGATTCTGCCCTTGGCTTTTCTGTAGTCACCTGTTGACTCTGAGCACATAACTTTCAAATATCTCTTTGTTTTAAACTTCTTTCTAAAGTTTGACTTCACATTGCAAACTCCTGCTCAATATCTGTATCTACATATAGAGGGCAAGACCTCAGTATCACATACCTTACTGTTCTCCAATTTCACTGTGACTCAAATCTCCTCATTGTTCACTGTACCCAACTCGTTCTCTAATATAACCTAACCATTCCCCTCTCTCCCTATCACTTACACTGTTAAAGGTACTACATTTCTCTTCTCTCAGAATTGAAGCTATCTCTGTTGACTTCTTTTTGGTAACCTCCTCATACCCATCCAGTTGGAATCTAAATTCTGGTACATCTTCCTCTGGAAAAAAAAAAATTCTTGCAATTTAATGTGTCGCTTCCTTTCCATATTCAGCTCAGTCCAAAGCTTCTAACCGGTCATCTTTCAGTTTCTTCATTTCCCATTCCATCCCAAACACTGCTTCCAAATCTCAAAGCAATTCTTTGACCAAGTCAAACTCTGTCAACAGCTCATCAGAGCCTGAAGGAAAAACTCCAAGCTACTTAACTGGGGTTTCCCAGGCCTCTGCAGCCTGGCATTAACTGGCCGGAATCCCATGCTTTAGCTAAATTGAATTTCTTCATGTCCTCCAGGTCAACCTTGGACCTGCTGGTCAGGTCCCTCTGAGCACAAGGCATCCCTGCCCAGAACCTCCTATCTGCCTGAGGATCACTGATTGGGATGGTGGCAAAGTCATTTCTCTTACAAGATTATTCTGAATAACGAAGCCGATGAGATGTTTCTTCTCTTTCCTAACAGCACTTTGAGCCTCCCTCAGGGCACTCATCAAAATTACTTCGGATTAAGAGTGTGTGTGTGCGTGTTGTTGGTATTGTAGATGCTGATGCAAGCCTTCCAACTAGGGCTCTTTTATTCTCAAAGCTCTCCTCCACAGTGAAAGTGTCTCCTCCCTGAGCTACAATGTTCAGTGCTTCGCAGTAATGATCTCTAACTCAACGTGCGCTCACTGCCTTTTAAGCCTCTTGACATCTGCTGGAGAGCACTCGTGTGCCTCAGCAAGAATCTTGAGACCACCATCTTTTTTTTTTTTTTTTTTAATTGTGGCTTCAAATGACCACAATATAAATTTATTTTGTTTTTGTTTTTTTTTTTTGGTACCGGGGATCGAACTCGGGTCCTTGTGCTAGCGTAGCAGGCGGCGAAACCACTGAGCTAAATCCCCGGCCCTTGAGACCACCATCTTGAAGGTCACATTTCTTCTTCACTTCCTTCCCCTACATCCCCACCATTTCAGTTCAACCAATAACTGCTTGGCTTCATGCTGTGAATGCTCCCCACACAGAGACCAGGGTAGGTTTAAATACCGATTTCATGTACTGCAGTGGAACCACAACTGGGGCCTCTTCCAAACGAGCTACGATGGTTAATGTCACTGCCCTTAAACTGCACAATACTTGTGATCATCAGTGACAGGTATTTCCAAAACCACAATAATGTTACTTCACGTCAACAGTTGCTAACAGTCATTTTGGGGGGTAAGATATTTCCATATGAAAGAGATGAAGGGAGTTGGAAAAAGTAAAGCGGTACAGAAGAATCCAAAGCCAAGAGCAAAACATTCTGTATACAAAATCCCCAAGGCTTGAAGGGTTTTATTATGGTGTAGAGACTTTAGAAATGAATTCTGCAGCAGATGCACACAGACCTACGAACATTCTAGGCTACCGTAACGTTCTCGGAGACGCTATGGTCCCTGGGTAACAGCGCTCCTGGGGTCTCATGACTCACTGCCTCCATAAGGAGCTGCCTTTGGGAGAATTAGGCTCAATTCAGGCACCATGGAGCCTGGGGCCTCCTGGGCTTCCACTGGGAACTATTAGGTCTGGTTCAAGATTCTCATGGTCTTGGGGAAAGACACAGGTCTCTTACTTTCCTACTCCCCTACAAGGCCTGAGTCACACTCCATGTCAAAGCATGCTTATTGAGTAATTGATGGAATTGGACTGAAAAGGATTATTTCAGAGCACCCCCCCCAAAAAAAGAAATTGGCCTTTGATACTGTTCTTGGAAGGGGTTTTAGTAACATCAGTAAAGGTAATTTATTTCTGGTGGGTTTGGTTTAATTCTTTCTCATCGAGCTTTTACTATAACATGGAGATACCAGCCTGCGAAACCACCCCGTACTTCCTTGGAATTAACTAGCTTCCACTCTGGTGACTAAAGTTAGTTAACTGCTTAGTCCATAAGGGGAATCTGGCTTTGGGAGCTTATGGCCAGCTATATTTTTAAGATCCTTCCAGCCATTGCAAATTGAGTGAGTAGCATTCCAAATTAATTCTTTGGTGACCTGGGCTTGAACTATCCCAATTCCCACAGTGCAAAAGGAGGTGACTACGGCTACCAGCTGTTGTCCCTCTATCTCCAACCAAGTCCCATAAACCAACCACGGCAGGAGACCCACTCACCTCTCCACCATGTGCGTCTGGTCCAGCGAAAGCCCATCGATGGCTGTGCACTCTGGACACTTGAATTTCTTCCGTGGGGTCACCTGCCAGGAGCATAGTCAGACCTGGCGCTCAGTGCCAAGGACTATAGAATCATGCTGTGCCACCACACCACATGCTTCTGTCCTGTGAGCTGAGATGCTGTGAGCATGTGCACACACAACAACACACACACACACACACACACACGCACACACACACCTCACCGCTCTTCTGTTTGATTTGGGCTGGCTCAGCCAACAGCGGAACTCACAAGGGCCCAATAAAAGAGGCTTGGAGGCTTTTGCCTTCTGTAACTGGAAAGAAGTGGTGATGACAAGTCCTTAATTCCTGTTTAATGACTGTTTTCTCACTGCCAAGGTCCTTGTATAAATACCATTTGTTCTTGCAGCCATAAGGGTGATGAAATACAGCTTCCCATAACTTTCACTGGAACCTTAGTTCCAACGGGCCTGCCTTCTCCTCCTTTCAGCTAATGGCAGATGCTATGAGCAGCACCATGCTCGAAGATGCCGGCTTGTTCTGAAATTCTCTCTAGTTAGGAAAAAGAATCTGATCGTCTCTCACCTTGAGATCCCTTTCTCTGACTCCCCTCCACCCTCCCAAATCTTAAAACTTCTAGCACTCCTAGCAAACTCAGGGAAGCCTGCTACCCTAACCTAGTGAAGACGAATAGGTAGGGAAAGGATGGGAAGGAAAGGAGTCTCAATAACCACAGCCAAACTAAGATGCACAGAGACACCATCGGGAGGAAGCAGCCATGGCTAAAACACGCTGAAGGTGAACCTGGGGGTGGCGGCTCCCCGAAAAACAACCCTCACAATTCGCAGTTAGCTGCTGGGTCATTTAGAGAACCGAGGGAGAGGGAGGGGACAGGGGCAAGTGCTTTTTCCTCTTTCCAAGTCACTTCGTTTGCTGAGGAGGGACCAGTGAAGATTCATTCATCCACACTTCCAGTGTGAGCTCCCTGAGGAAGCACCTAGGGGAGGCTGGAATTGCCCATTTCCCACATGGAATTCTAACCAGGAAGAAAGAGGTCAGGATGCTTCTACCCATGGAAAGAAGAGTGCTTCCTTCTCTCCATATCTATTTGAGTAAAGTCTGAATTTCAGGAATAGACATCTTTGAGGTCTAAAGACTATCCCACCCCCAGCAGATCTCTAGGTATCCTCAGCTTTTATTATGCTATGGGAAAGGGACTTTCAGAAAGTGGACAACAACAGTTACACAACTGTACAAGGATCTGTGCATCTGTGCATCCAGTGCAACACTTCATTTGCAGTTGTGAGAATGAGCTCCACTCTTCATGATTGGAGAACACAGTCTTGGCTGAGAGAGCCAAGCAAGAGGGTGCCGGAGCCTCTTACCTTGATGACAGCTTTCCCTGTGACATTGGCCACCAGGAAATTCATGGCAATGTCTTCACAGTTCATATGCGCGTCCACCCAGTTCTTGATATCCCCAGGCATTTTGTAGGTGTACAGGTAATTAAAATACTGTCAGGTGAGAAGAAAGAAGAAACATGCAAATAGCAGTTCCTGGGCCGGGGATTTAGCTCAGTGGTTTCACCGTCTGCTGTGCAAGGAGAAGGACCCAAGTTCAATCCTCAGTACCAATAAAAAAAAGTAAACAAAAGCAGTTCCCTTTGGCTGACGCATCAGGACAACTGAATGGAGGCCTGAGAACAACCTTTCTCTCCTAAGATTAATCACAAGGCCCTACAGCACAAAGGGCCAAAGGAAGTACAAGACTGCTTTGGTCCAGTGGCCCAGTGTCTCTGACATGGGCATTCTTCTGCAAGGGTATATGGGCTTTTTCAAGTGGAATGAAAATGAGACACATCTACAATAGCCCACATGTGTGAGACTGTGTAAATTAATGGGTCCAAAATAAATCAATAATAGTACACAATAATCAATAATATGTACACATAACTCCAAAGAATTATACTCATTAGGGCTTCTTATTTATTTGTTTTACTAACAATAAAACCTATTTCTGGACTTCCGGCCCCGGAAAATATGAGGGTAGCAGTACTAGGCTAACAAGAAACAATAGATATAAAATAGCTAAATTAAATTAACTGTATTCTGTTGGACAGATCTTTCTCCTGGTATCAGCTCCTCATGCTACCACACACTCCCAGGAAGCGCTCCATAGGTAAACTGAATACTCTGATATCAAATTCATAGTCTCTAATCTCTGCCTAATAAAATCAAAACCATTAAAGTGATGGTTCTCAGAAGAAGTACAAAAGGCTAATAAATTCACAAAAGGAATTTTAACCTCACTAGTAATCATGTAAAAGTTCAAACAATAGGATTCATTTTTACTTATCCAAATAGCTAAAGTTAATTTTTAATACATTTTATGCAAGGGAGGGTATGGTAGGACAATTTATATTGTGCTGGTGAAGGTGTAAAATGGCACAAATAATACTGAAACTATCACATTACTGCTCTTAAAAAGCCCAAAATGTACATTCCCTTTGATATAATTCTACTTGGAGGAATCTGTCATAATGATCCTGAGTATAAACAGGAAAATGGATATTAATCACTGAGCATTAGATATTAAGCATTATCTAAAATAGCAAAAAATAGAAAATTAAATACGCAATGATAGAGAAATAGTTATACATGATTCATGGAGAATGATTTATGGTACAATACCAATTATGCTAAGAAGTAATTGCTTATGAAATTTAGTAACATGAGAAAATGCTCATAATACAGTGGACTAGTAAGAATATTTACAACTGTCTCTGTGTATGCAAGAATAAATATATAAAAGGCAAGCTGAAAAACATCATCTATAGGTAATACGGTGGTACCTCGGTTCATGAATGCTTTTGTTGACAAACAATTTGGTTTCCAAACAGAAGCATTTGGCAAAATTTTGTTTTTGTTTTCAAACTCTGCATTGGGTGACATACATGACCACAGTCACCTCCCCCACATAGCCATCTTTTCCAAAATCATAGAGCAAATTAAGTTCATGAACCGAGGTACCACTGTAATGGTTTCCTCTAAGTGACAGCATTACAACTGATATGAATTTTCATACTTCCTACTGTAAGCATGTATTACATTTATAATGAGAAGACCAATGCATTTATTTAAAAAGGAATACAGTAAGTCCCCAACTTACAAATTCTGTTTCCAAAGAACGTTCATAAGTCAGATTTGTTCGTAATCTGACAAAGTGGGTCTTACACAGTACACCTGTGAATCTTATAGAGTACACCTGTGAAAGTTTGCAACTTGAATGTAAGTCGGGAACTACTGTATCACATAGCAGGGTTTTTCCAAGCCCGCGGGGTAGAACCCCTTTCCTACACCTAGCAGTAATTAGGCCAAATGAAACGTCGTGCCCCTGGGTTCTTTGGCCCCAGGCTGTACCGCCTTACCTTGTGGTAAAAAGCTGCCCCGGTGAGCACCATGGACACCTCGTTAGTCCACTCCGACTCGTACTTCCACTTATTCATCTCGTGGTCCCAGAGGTGCAGGCGACCGGGGTAGCCCACAAGCCGGTCAGGAAATTCCCGCCAGACCTGGGGACCGAAGCACATCCACAGTCACCCTGGGGCCAGATGACAATGCGGGACAGCATGGTTGCCCACAAGCTTCTGAGGCCAGATCTTTACAAACAAGAGCTAGCGAGGGCTTCTGAAGACATCCAAGGGCTCCTCTGCCAACGCGTGAGGACAGACACCTCGTCTGATTTCCTCCGAAACTCCTTGTGCGTGCTTGGAAATTCCAAGCACTGTGGCGGCATAGTTTATCTTGTTGGGGAAATGTATGATTAATGAAGAAGGTTTCTTTCATAATAAAGGCGCAAATGAAGAATAAATGGAACCCTGCAACTCAGCTGCCCTGATCTGTATAAAATTGCTTATTCTGGAATTTACAAGAAGTCTCCATTTCTTTTTTTTGGTACTGGGTATCAAACTCAGGACATTGCGCTTGCGAGGCAGGCATAGAGCCACTGAGCTAAATTCTTGGCCCTCCATTTCTTTTTATTAGAAAAAAAAAAAAAGGATCCATTTTTCCTGAGCACACAATCATACTTATAACCTATTCAAAGCCTATAATGTACTGTAGAGGATTTTTCTGGTTCTGTGACATACTGACCACAAGTACAGTGGACCCCTTGACTTATCTGTTCCCGAGGGGTGGTTGTAACTCAAGTTGGTCAATGAAGGCTCAGGCTCCTCTACACAGCCTTCAAAGTCTCTCCCCTGTGTACAGGCAGACCTCACTGTCCTTAGAAAGACATTGGGCCAGGATTTCTCAGTGAACCCCACACAGCAAAGGATGTTGTCATGTTCCTTTCAGAACTCTTTAAGGGTTTAATCTGTATCTGAGATCATTCAGAAGCATGAGTGGCCAGCATTCAGGATGCAACTAAACTTTGTTCATATGTTAAAACTAAAATTCCGTCCGTAACCCAAGTTGTTCATGCATCAGGCCAGTCGTAACTCGAGGGTCCACTGCACTTGGTTTCTGTGTTTGGAATAGCTCTTAGACAGTTTTGTTGGAAGAAATAAAATGTAGTTGGTCTCAGGGGATGAGGCCAATCTCAGGCCTTCCCATGGGTTTCTGCCTACCGGAGCTGAACTTTGAGAGAGCAGAGGTCCCCCGGGCGACCGTGCCCTGGCGCTCTGCTGGCTGCCCTGTGCCTCTTCTCGGTCCCCAGCCAACAGCAGCCTTTCAAAATGGGCCTCCTGAGGTCCCTGCTGAGGCTCTATTCGCTTCTCCAAGCCCATTCTCTCTAAGGAATCGCATCTAGTTTGAATCCCTTAAAAACCGTCCATAATCTCACAACCCCTGCAGTATGTTGGGCCTGAACATCCCTGACATAACCAACCCCTTACTATCTCCACCTGGACAAAGGACAGCCACCTCCGACCTACCGTGTCCAGAACAGAGCTCTTGACGCCCTGTCCCCGACAATCCCTTCCATCTCCTCCATGCCAGGGAATGTGCAGCCGGCTGCTGGGCCTCTGCCATCCCCTGTCCCTTGACCCCCAGTCCCGCTGCCTCTGTTGGTGGCCTCTCGCTTTCTCTGCCACCCGACCTGGCATCCACGGACAGCCCTTGCCTGTGTCCTTGCTGCCATTCCTGTCCTTTCAACCCCTAAGTGCATGGCCCCCCTGTAAGGACCATTCCTAAAGAGCACGGAGTATTCTGCACAGGCGAATCCAACCTGTGGATGCTCCTGATTTTCACATGTTCAGTTAGGTATTGACCTGTCGATACAAGTCACAGGGTCACATCCCAGAGCATGTGCTAGGTCCAGGAGGACGTCACCACAGTTCTCGGGGCACAGTCAGTGTGCTGGCAGCCCCTCCTCTCCTATTTTTCTAGGGTGCTGTAACAAACAACCACAAACTGAGGGGCTCAGAACAACAGAAACTCGTCTCAAGCGCTGCAGCCCAAGCCCAGGTGTCACCGGGTCCACACCCTGCTGCCTCCTGCAGGGAAAGATCCACCCAGGCCAATCCTCTGCTCCCAGGCCGGCTGTCCCTCTGTCCGTTCGCAACCCTCCCTGGCTTGCAGACACATGGCTCCAACCCTGCAGCTTCTCATGGTCCCTTCCCTCAGCATGAGCCTGCCTGTGTGTCCCTGTGTCCCTGTCCACAAGGACACTGGTCACATCCGATTAGGGCTCATGCTGGTGGTCTCATTTTAACTCAGTCACCTCTGAGAAGTCCCTATTTCCAAAAAGTTACACTCTGTGGGCCTGAAGATCAGGACTTCAATATACTCTTTCTGAGGTTGTTATAATTCAACCTATAACATCTCCTGGAAAATCTTTAAGAAATGTCCTACCCTCAAAACAAAAACAAAAAACTGGCTTCCTATCACATGCAAGGCATTCCACAGGCTCCTCTGTGGGTCACACAGGCCCAGCTTCAGCACTTCTCTTGCTGCTCTGTGACCGCATCAAGGCCCAGGCATGTGCTGTTGCTTCTGGCTGCAATGCTCTCCCAGGCCTGCAAAAGTCTGGTCACCTCTCATCAGCCAGGTCTCTGCTTACATGGCATCTATCTTGAGAGGTCTTGGAACTTCCCATCTCAGCCAAATCCCACGCCAACTCCCTTCTCTTATCATATCCCTCTTACCCCTCGCTCTGCTTCTCCAAAGCTTCATTTTTTGTGATCATGCCAGCTATTTATGTTTTTATTTTTGTTTTTTTTTTGGTACTGGCGATCGAACTCGGGTCCTTGCGCTTGCACAGTAGGCGGCGAAACCACTGAGCTAAATCCCCGGCCCTTGCCAGCTATTTATGATTATTTATCTTTACCTATTTCTCTCTGGATGAGGACAGAGTCTGTCCCTTTCACTATAGTGTCCCATGCACAGAGAACTGTGCCCATCACAAGACAACATCCTACATAGAATCTGTCTGCTGAACAGACGAAGGCTCAGCCGGAGAAAGGAGGGGACTCGAGGTGGCGTCTCCTTCCATCCCAGCCGGAGCAGCACACTCCTCGGCCCAGGATGGAAGGAGCCTGGGGCAGGATGGATCGGCAGCTGCCATGCACAACTGTGCCATGGACAGCACAGGGACAACTCGCAGTCTAGGAGCACAGAGCTTCTGGTGCCTCCCCGGAAGTGCGGGGCATATGCTGAGCCACTGTGGCCGCTGTCCCTTTCCCATCCTCTCTGTGATGCTCTGCAGGATTTTAGGGGCCCTGAGTTGTGGTGGTTTGGGGTTATGGGAAGAGCCTCCCTTCTCGGGAGCCCAGGGAATCCAGGTCAGCTACCAGCCTCTCAGCCTCCTCAACACCGGGCTGTAACTGACACAGTTAATGGGCCACAGGCATCGCCCAACTAGCTGTGGACAAATGAATCCATGTCTACATTTCCTCCACCGTGTGAGCAGCTGCTGAGTTTCCTCTGCTCTGGGGTTTGTATTTCAACAGATTAAAATAATACGATACTGTTAGGATTTTATAGAGCCCAGGGCGGCTACGCGGCCAGGTGAGCCAGCTCTTCCCTCGGGCACCATGCACTGCCTCTGCCCAGCACGTGGGCACCATGCCCCTGGCTCACTGCGGCAGCCTTAAGGGACCTTCTGAAAGCCCAGGCAGATGACACCCCTGGAACACACAGCAGAGGCAGGCAGCAGGTGCAGGGAGGTGGCACTCATTCTGCTGGTGCTTCTGCTACCACACTCGGGTGCTTTTTTCCTTCACTTTGAGTCCGGTCAGCTCCCCGAAGAGCCCTTCTTTACAAGGCCTTCCCGCTCCAATTCACAGCTTCATCTTACTCTCATTGTTATTATTGGCTCCGTTTTAGGGCCAAGTGCTGTTCAGACTTCAGTAAGGGGCTCTGTCGGCGGAAGTCACCTATCACATCTCTCTCCAGGGGACTCACTGTGGTGACACCGGGTCACGGGATGCTCATACGCTGCACTCGAGGCATCAGAGGTGTCCTGGATCTCAGATTCCTTGGACCCTTCCTAGTGCGCTGTTCTCCTATGGGGCCTCTGTCCTTGACTTACTCTAGGCAGCTGGATGCAATCAAGACACCATCCTCGCCACTTCATCTATAACTCAGCGGCCGACTGCAGGATCAAAACGGAGTGCAGCAGAATGGGATGGCCCTCTAATCTGGCCCTGGTGTAGACCGAAGTCGATTATGTACACAGTAAAGCATTTTCCCAGCCAGAGAGAGAGCCCCTCCTCAGGGCTGGCTGCCCCCCACTCCTACCCGGGGGAACTGCCCTGGGGTCAGCTCTCGTAGTCCTGCCAGATGCCTGTGCACGCTGTAGCTTGGCATCTGAAGGTCCGCACTGTGCCTCTGCAGTTCTGAGGTGCATCCAAATCCCAGAGCCGCCACAGTCCTCCGGGTCCTGTGTCTGCACCTATTTTAATAACACACATCACTGCGGACAGAGGCTTGTCTCTCAGGAGACTCTTTGCCTTGCTTAGGACCCGGGCAATAATTTGACAGTGTTTACCTTTGGGCCACGCCACTGTGCAAATGCGAATTGTAACAATGGAATACCACTCTCCAGCTTCTCTTTCTATTCTAATTTCCACAGTCTCGGCCCCACACACCTCTTACCCGATAATACGCATAGTCTCCTCTCTGGACACCCAGATGTGCTTACTTACGCTTCCGCACTCAGGAAGGTTTTATTATTTATTTATTTTAATTAAAAATAAAACAAGCCAGGCCTGGTGGCGCACACTTGTAGTCCCAGCACTCAGGAGGCTGAGGCAGGAGGAGTGTCGTGATTTTGAGGTTGGCCTGGGCGACAAAGGGGCATAGTGAGTTCAAGGCCAGCCTGGATACATAACAAAACCCCATCTCAAAAGCTAAACAAACCCAAACAAAGAAAACTCCAAAAGCCTCCAGAGTTCTTTTGTGCCTTCCTATTTCCACAGGATCAAACTAAGAATTTCCAGCTTGGTTTGAAAGCCCTTGAGGCAGGCAAGACTTGCACATCGTATGGAAAGTGCACTGGTGGGGAGGGGGAATCGCAGACCCACGATGAGCTCTGCAGCTGCCTGTTCACAGTGGCTGCTTTCCTTTCACT